CGAGACCCCAAACATCCCTGAGGGCTCTGACCCACAATCCAGGCACGGAGGCATGGGCGTTGTGATCCTCTTGTCTCCTTTTCGAGTCCTCCGTCTTTCTCTTCAACTCCCCTTCCTGCTACAAGAACCACGCGCACGCTCAGGTGCTAGCTAGGCCAAGCTCGCGATAAACTTACAACTGCACACCCATACGTACCCATACATTGCCTGAACGCGAAGTGAAGACGTACAAGGATTCGTGCCGAACAACAACATGTTACGGATAAGGGTACACCCATGCTAATTCAAACCAACGCAATACAACACATGACACAGCACTGAAGTAAATACAATGCATTGCAATGGCATTGCGGCGCGACACATTGCCATGGAAAGGGGGTTGGAATGCAACGGAATGCAGCAACGAACATGGTTGCAATATTAAGCGCGAAGTGCATACAAGTTCATGCAATAAAAATGCATGCAAGATATACCTGCGTCATCATTCGCGAAATAATGCAACCCCAGCCAACGAGCCCAAAGAATTCGGAGATCGCAGACAAGTATGGCCGGGGAATAATCTGGACTGGGGATCGCAAGTGCGACGAGGCACATTGCTTGAGACAACGGGGGTAGAGGCGAGGAGACAGACACGAATGGGGAAAACGAAGCAGGGATGACAGAAGAGTCAGGCCGGGGGACGGCAGTGAACGGAGGAAGGGAGACAGAAGAGAAAGGAGGGAAAGCGAAGAGTGAGGGAGTAAAGAAGGATCAGGAGCTAAGAGGCTCTCTTCGGGACTCGCATGAAACAACCTACGCCACCTCAGAAAGGAATCATCGGAAGACAGGAAAACGTAAACAAAGGGGCCGTCTTGGATACCGCCAGGGTCCTCTTGGACTCTCGTGGGAGCCCTCTTGGGACATCTTGCAGCACTTGGGGATTATCTGAGAGACATCTTTTGGCCGTGGCGGGGTCTCCCAGACGCCCCGTCCCGTGGCCCTCTGGGTACCTCCTCTCTTCCTCCGCCTTCGGCCTGCTGCTTCCGAGATCCTCCAAACCTCGTCTCCCTCTCTGTGACTTACTCCCTACCCCTGCGCATTCCACCGCTCCACACGTCCCCTCGAATTTACTTTCTGCCGCCAGGGCGTCAGCAATCCTGCGCGGTGAAAAAGGTTCCCTCGTCCAGGCTTCTGTCCAGCGTTCTGTCGAGGCTGCCGGCGTGTGCGGAAAGTGTCTGCTTGGGCGCGAATTACTGGGGGGACGATGCATCGGGAAACGAACGATGACATCAACATAAAAACTCGGAGGTGCGCGCGGATTGCTCGGATCGGCGCTGGACCCCCTCCCTGGCGCGCTCCGCCTACGAATTTCTATGTTATGCCATTGTTCGTTTCCCTAATAAACGAGAGAGCAGCGAGGGCTGCAAAAAAACAAAAATTGCCCTTTCGTGCCCCTCCAGAGGGGTCCCCTATAGGGCCCAAGGGGCGGCCTCTCGGGCCGAAGAGCGCACCTTTCCCTCCCCCCCCCGCCCACTTCTCGCCTTCGAGGCCCGAAAAAGGCACCTTCCCCCCCCACCCCCCCCTTTTTTGAGTATCGTTAGGGTGCCACATGCGAACCCTACCCCTACCCCCACGATTTCTGGGGGGAGGGTGGGGTTCACTTCGCTCGTGAGCTCCCGAACGAAGTGAACCCCACCCTCCCCCTCAGAAATCGTGGGGGGGTAGGGGTAGGGTTCGCATGTGGCCCCCTAATCGTTTGACCGATCTCCATCCCCAGCAGCGTGGCCTGGGCCCCACTGGCCGATTTGCCCCCCTAGATGGGGATATAGGCCGTTCCCTGCGGGTTTCGCGAGGAGTGCATCCCCAACTGGGGGGGGGGGGTAGTATGTGGTGGGGGCCTCGAAGGGGACGGGGATGGGGATGGGCATCGGATGCACGATAACGACGAAAAGGGCACCTCTTTCTCCCCCCCCCCTTGTCATCGCCCCCCCTTCACTCGCGCCCAAAGTCTGCGCAAACTCCAGGATCCCGGAGCCGCCAAACGACCCGGGCCCAGCCGCTGGCACGGGAGCCGCAGCCGGCTGCTCCGGCCGCGTCCCGGCTCCGGCGCCGGGGCACGGCGAGGTCGGGGCCACCTCCCGCGGCGAGGGTGCACCCTCGCCGGAGGAGGAGGAGGAGGAGTCGCTGGGGACAGCTGCAGCGGGGCACGAGGCCGTCCCTGGGAAGACAGGCCAGTCAGAGCCGAGGATGGGAGAAGTATGTGAGGAGGAGGAGGAGGAGGAGGAGGAGGAGGAGCAGGAGGAGGAGGAGAAGGAGAAGGAGGATGGAGGATGGAGGAGAAGGAGGATGGAGGATGGAGGAGGAGGAGGAGGAGGAGGATGGAGGAGGAGGAGGAGGAGGAGGAGGAGGAGGAGGAGGAGGAGGAGGAGGATGGAGGAGGAGGAGGAGAGGAGGAAGGAGGAGGAGGAGGAGGATGGAGGAGAGGAGGAGGAGAAGGAGAAGGAGGAGGAGGATGGAGGAGAGGAGGATGGAGGAGGATGGAGGAGGAGGAGGATGGAGGAGGATCGAGGATGGAGGAGGAGGATGGAGGAGGAGGATGGAGGAGGAGGAGGATGGAGGAGGAGGAGGAGGAGGAGGAGGATGGAGGAGGAGGAGGATGGAGGAGGAGGAGGAGGATGGAGGAGGAGGAGGATGGAGGAGGAGGAGGAGGAGGAGGATGGAGGAGGATCGAGGATGGAGGAGGAGGAGGAGGAGGATGATGGAGGAGGAGGAGGAGGAGGAGGAGGAGGAGGAGGAGGATAGGAGGAGGAGGAGAGAGGAGGAGGAGGAGGAGGAGGAGGATGGAGGAGGATCGAGGATGGAGGAGGAGGATGGAGGAGGAGGATGGAGGAGGAGGAGGATGGAGGAGGAGGAGGAGGGAGGAGGATGGAGGAGGAGGAGGATGGAGGAGGAGGAGGAGGGAGGGGGAGAAGGAGGATGGAGGAGGAGGAGGAGGAGGAGGAGGATGGTGGAGGAGGAGGAGGAGAAGGAGGAGGAGGAGGATGGAGGAGGGGGAGGCCACCTCCCGTGGCGAGGGTGCACCCTCGCCGGCCTCGTGCCGGCGGTACTCCCGGATGGCCGCCCGCTTGAGGCGGAAGAGCTCCTCGAAGCTGCGCCGCTCCTCCGCCAGCAGCTCCTCGGACATGGGGGGGGGATCTATCACGAAGGGGCCCCAGGACACACACAAATAAATACACACAAATAAAATGATTCCCCATATTTTCCTATGTTTTCTGGGTTGCTGTCTTCCCCCCCACTTCCCATATTTTCCCATGTCTTCTGTGGAATCGAAGATTAATTGTGTCTGTGTGTTTCTTTTCCTCCCGAATATCACGAAGCATGATGCGATCCCCGACACTGGCCCAGAGGTCCGACGCTCCCCAAAAAATTGGAACGGGCGTTCTTTTTCCCGTTTTCAGGCGTCGGGGGCCCTCGCCGGGCCCAGGGAGCGCCAACGAAACGACTCGGGACAAAAAGCCGGCCCTGGGAAAGGGATCGGGACCTCCGGGGCCCACGCATCGAAATTAGTGGAGCAGCCAAATGTCTGGGAATAACACAATAAATCCGTGACCTAGCTCGAGTCACCAATTCTCGGGATACCTCTGAATCTATGAAAGGTTTCATTTGTTACAATTTTCGAAAAGACTCCCTATCCCCAATGTGTCTCGCCCTTCTAACGTAAGTCCCCTCTCAGAGGGTTACCAGGAAAGCCTCAAACCTTACGCTTCGAAAACTCGGAACTGGGAAGGGCCTGGGATTCTGATCTTGAGTGGCCTCCCAGAAAGCTGATAGACTCCCGGAAAGATGAATGATTCTGACAAACAACATGCCTCATAATGGGTACGTCAGACCATAAGCTTTTGACATGCGTGTACGAGTCAGACGTGCGTCATTGTTACACGCCCTCTATAATTCCAAAATACACGCATCGCAAAATTATGGGTTGCACAAGTGAATGATGTAGCATCAAAAGTGACGCGTGACACTCCGAAAACCGAATGATGAAACCCATTGTTCCACTTTCATCCCAGACCTCGACATGGCATGAGATAGTGTGATCCGACGCGCGCGCATAAGTAAACACATCCATTATTTGGATAACGAATGTACAAATCAACGAAGAGCAACCGCACAAGACACGCGTTTCACTTGCATTTTCGCTCCCAACATGACATGATGCATTGCGCAACAATACACGCATCCTCTTTCGCCCGCGGGCGCGCGCACGCGTGCGCCATGCGAACGCCAGCTCAAAATGACCCGTTGAACTTCGAAGGCGAAAAATGTGAAACACAAGTGGTGCACGTGTATTCTGGGCCACAGAAAGGGATGATATTGTGTGAGACAATCTACAGTTCCTAATGCACGCGCCTGCGCGCGCACGCGCGCACGCGTGCGCCATATGAATGCGCGCGCGCACGCGCTCACGCGCGCGCCATCAGAACCTGCAGCGTGTCAGAATACAGCATATCAAGTTGCGGCCCAGATGACGATTGAAACGATTTGTAATCACTCGTACTCTGGGCCTCGGCATGAGATGCTCTATGTTGTGACACAGAGCACTTCGCATATTGCGCGCGAGCGCAAGTACGCATCATCGTGAAAGTTGTCATATTCGGCGTTTCGACATTGGGCGGAACGGGGGGGGGAGGGGGGCCCTGGCTTCGGACCTCTGCTTGAAGCGACTGTTTGCAGCAGTGCGTCCTGCGGGGGAGACTGCACCTGCGTGAAACAGGCGCCCAAAACAGCCAAGATCTAATCCACGGGGGGAGGGGGGGGGGTGCGAGGGACAGCCCCGGCCGATCGGCAAAACACATTGCGCGCGAGCGTAAGTATACATCATTGTGCACAGGGGTGACGCGGTCACCCCGAGCTTGCGCGCGCGCGCGTCGCTGCCGCGGGGCGCAGTGCCACCGCGCCTCCTCGGAAGACTTGGACGCCCCCCAGCCGTCCTAGAAGTTCTCTCAAGCCTTCCCCGAAAACCAAAAACAATTTCTCGGAAGGCGCGAGGGCCTCTGGGAAGTCCCGCCGCCTCCTGAGAAGGCCATATTCTTCTCATTTCGCCCCCTCGCTCGCCGCTGATCAACATGCGAGGTGATACTTCTGAAACCATGCGTTGTTTTCTCGCTGCCTGCGCGCGCGTGAGTGCACCATTGTGCACTGTCGTGATCGTGGATTTGTTTGGGCCTGGGCTTCGCGGCGAAGCCCCGGAGAGGGTTCGCGCGACGGGTCTCAGGGCAGGTCGGCAGTCTCGCCCGCCGGGGCGAGCCCCGCCAGGGGCCCGCGGACTGCGCCTGCGCCTAATTACGCGACTGCGCCTGCGCGGCGCAGGGCCCACCCCCCTCTTGATCGGCGGATCTGCCCTCGGTAGCCTGGCCTTCAGCATCGTGGAGCGGCGCCGCCTCTTTCCCGCCGCCCTTGCTTGAGCTGTCTTCCACTCATTGCAATATATATATATATATATATATACACAGAGAGAGAGAGAGAGAGAGAGAGAGAGAGAGAGAGTGAGCGAGAGAGAGAGAGAGAGAGAGAGAGAGAGAGAGAGAGACGGACAGGCAGAGGCGCCTTCCCATTTCGACGAGAGCGTCGCGCATCAGCGCGAGAAAGGGGCCACGCAGACGAGAGGCGCCCCGATCGATTGGCCCGATGCGATGCTGATTGACGGCGCGCGCCGAGGCTCGCCATGTGTACATCTGGTCGAAGGGGGCATGAAGTGCATGGCGTGTGCGACGTGGGCACAGTCGCCAGAACGTTTCAACAAATCGCAGCATCGCCCAAAAGCGTGGCCCTGGTGTTTCGGATGCAGCGAAACAGGTTACGCGCAAAAGGCGAAGTGCCCAAACGCCGAGTGGGATACTCGCCCAAGGAAGGATCCAGCTGACCCGAGTCGTTTTTTCCTGATCAGGTTGCTTTCAGGCGGGGGCTCATCCTCAACCATCCTCAAAGGCTGCAGCTGCTGCTTCCGTGGCTTCCCTAAAATGTTGACGCAGGCGCAGCCGAACAGTAAGATAGGCATCTGGGTCCGAGCCGCCGCCATGCAGCCGTGGTTGCACAAATACTGGTGCTCGTCCGTCGGCATCGGGCTTTGGCGAAGCAAACTTGAGAAGTCAGCGCTCTCCAGCGGGCCCGAGGGGCAAGGTCTGACACGAGACCACTTCGCAGGAGAAATCGAAGATGGGTTTCCCCCTTCCAGCGCGGGTCGATCGGCGATATGGTTGCCCAAGACGCACGAGTGACCACGAATCCAGGAGAGGATGATCCTGAAAGCGCGGAAGACCTTAGCCCAGACGAAGCGTAGCAGGGAGGTGAGGACGAGGTCGTGCTAGGGGTAGAAGGCATTCTCCAGGGTGCCGATCCCGTCCGTGGAATCAAAGACGACCTCGGAGCCTGCGGCAAAGAAGTGGCGCCCTGAGGGTGCGATGGGCCCTGGGAGCCGCAAACCTGTTTCTATTGCCCATGCCAGCTCAGCAGTATTACTAGTACAACGAATGGCGCCCAACAAACCCTGGGAGGCGGGGGTCGGCGTGCACTGGGCCGCAGGCTTCGCAGACAGGGGCGCATTTGATACCAGGAGATTTTGAAGACTTCGAATTCGGGGTCAGGCCAGGGGGGTCCTTGAAGACCGCGAAACCCCACCCGCACGTAGACTTGGTCTTGGCGCGTTTCTTAAAATGGCCGTCGCTGAAGATTCTGAAACTGACCTGATCAGGTGAGATGTCAGTTCTCAGCCTGCCCGAAATGTCAAAGCGGTCCTCAAGCTGGGCCCCGAACGCGTGATCTAGCAGCTGCCAGCCCACGGGTTTCGTCGCGAAACGATGTTTGCAAGCAGGAATGAAGACCATTTGAGGCCGGCGCTCAGCAAAAAAGCGAAGCACCACGGGCGAGTGGTCCGACTTCACCGCCGACGACTCCCCCACCTGGACGTTGTAGCTGGCGACGGGGAAGGACCTGCAGACCATGGAGAAATCGATCTGTCTGGGCTCGAACCGTCCGTCGTAGAAGCACGTCGCGGTACCCATAGCTGGCTTGCTCCAGGTGTTGGCCGCAATCAAGTCGCTTGTTCCCCTGAACTCGTGCAGGTAATCGGTCTTCCACGAGCGAACTCCAGAGGCGTGGGGCCCCACTGCCCGAGTCGGATACCTTCTCTTTCCGAATGAGGCGTTCGCGTCTACACAAAGACGGGTCTAAAACCAGAAAGTGCCATGTCAATGAACTGCTCGCACTCTTGAAAGTCTTGGGCGTAAAGAGTATGATTGCGAGAGTCGGGGTCGAGATGTGCACATATAATCCAGAGCTCACCAAGAGCTGCGTGGACTCCAAGTGCGAGGCAGGCAGATCTGAACAGTGGCTTCCCAATGATGCAAACCGTGAACGTCTTATGCACTACGATGCAGGGTCTCCTTTTTCCGCCTCCCGCTGGGAGGCCCTAGGATTACTGTATGGCCAGCAATCTCAGGATGAGCAAGGTCGGTCCCCGTGAATTCTTGAAAGCAGGTCACATCCCAGAGTAATTCGCGCTCAAGTTGACCCAGCACCCCTGCGGCACCCTTCATCGGAACTCCACGGCAGTTCCATGAGATGATCACGGTGTCGTCGCTGGTGCGAGCGCAAGGAAGAAGATAGCCACGACCTGCGAGGTGGGCCACTTATCTCGTCGAGCTTGGAGGCCAAGTCGAGCTGCGCCCCCAAGCTGCAGAGCCAGGCCTGACCCCCCTCCGCATGGCGTAGCAAGTACGACGGGCACGCCCGCGTGAGCAAGCGAATCGGCTCCCTCGGCTGCACCTCCTGCGGCAAATGCTTGCGCAAGCAGACGACAGTGCCCATGTCCTTCTGGGCGTCCAACGAGTTGGTCAGGAGCTGCGCGTCGTGGGTGGACCACTTAGTCACGAAGGCGCCCTTAATCAAGCCCTTCGCGTGGGCCGCCCGACTGAAACAGATGATCTCGTCCGTGTACTTGTCGATAGTATGCCATAGCTTCCGCTCGTTCCCGTCGATGGGGTCCACGTCGCGGCTCCTCTCTGCCAAGGAGCTGGCAAACTTCTTCCCTTTCATCGAAACTAAACACTTCCACATGAAATCTTTGTTATTGAACTCAACTTTCACTCTGTCCGTGTACGAGCCCGCTGGGTACACTTTGGCAACGCCCTCGATGTGCGCGAGCCGCAACACCTCACGCACCTCGCTCGCCAACTCCGCCCCCTCTGAGTAGATCCAGCCCCCGATGCAGGGTGTCCTCCCCAAGCCCATTGGCATCCTGGCGGGAGGTGCGATCGTCGATGCGTCGGAGCCTCCAGTTCCCACTGAAGCGACTGAGGCAGCCGAGGTGGTGGCTCGGGCAGCACTGGCGCCTGACTTGACTACGACCATCCTGCCTGGTCTTCAAACTGACGAGGTCACCATTTATCACGGCAACTTCCCTGTCTGTGTTGGTCACTTCACGGTTGACCTCTTCCACCTTAGCATCCAACGGCCTGATGGTGTCTCCCATGACATTCCTGAGGTCAGCAGAAAGGGCCGCGAACAGTCGGGCAGCACCTGGATCTAGACCCTCTGGAGCAGCTGTCGGTGGGGGTACAGCAGGAGGAGGTCCCAGGGGCATGACCGAGGAGGCGGCACCGTTCGAACCCTTGTAGCCGCCCCACGGGTCGAAGTGAGCAGCCCCTCCTGCGGCAACGATGCGTCGCTGCTTCGTCCCGTTCTCCTCAACCTCAATATCATCGTCCCCCAAGGGCGGACCAGCCAGAGCCATGTCTATTCGGTATATATCTCCGCACGGGAGGCAAAATGCGCGTGCGGGACAAGAAGTGGAAGAGCGGTGAGACTGGTGGTGTAAGGAGACTTCTCGTGCACACGACCGCAGACTCAGCAATAGCCTTGAGCCAAAATTGACAATGTCGACGATGACGACGACGACGACGACGACGACGACGACGACGACGACGACGACGACGACGACGACGACGACGACGACGGGGGCGGCGGCGGCGGGCCGCCTGTCGGCGCCGCGCCTCCCCGCGCTCGCGTCGCGAGGCCTCCTCGGCGGCGGCCGCCGCCTGCGCGGCGCGCCGCCGCTGCGCCGCGCGCGCGCGGCGCCCGCCGCGGCGGCCTCCGCCTCGGCGGCGGCCGCGGTGGCCGCGGCGGCGAGGCGTTCCTGGCGCAGCGCCTGGCGAGGAGCAGCGAATCGCAGAATCGCCCGGACACGCCACAGAGCGCCCTCCCACCCTTCCCCCTTCCCCTCCCCCCCTCCTGCTCCCCTCCTCTTCCTCCTCCTGCTCCTCCTCCTCCTCCTCCTCCTCCTCCCTCCTCCCTCCTCCTCCATATTCCTCTCTCCTCCTCCTCCTCCTCCCTCCTTCCTCCTCCCCCCTCCCTCCTCTCCTCCCCTCTCCTTCGTCCCTTCCCCCCCCCCTCCTCCCTCATCCTACCCCTCCTCCCTCCTGCCCCCTCCGTCCTTCCTTCTGTCTCCTTTCTCATTTCCCCTCCTCCTCCCCTCCTCCTCCTCCTCCTCCTCCTCCTCCTCCTCCTCCTCCTCCTCCCTCCTCCTCCTCCCCCTCCTCCTCAATACTCCTCCATACTCCTCCATACTCCTCCATACTCCTCCTTCCTCCTTCCCCTCCCTCCTCCCACCTTCCTCCTCCTTCCTCCTCCCTCCCTCCTCCCTCCCCCCAGGAAGCTTCCAGTGGGCTCCAGAAATGACGCAAGAGGCTCCAAAGAGATCTCCTCCTCCTTATTATCCTCCTCCTCCTCTTTTCCCTCTCGCCCACATGTTCCCCGAAAGGTTTCCTCCACAACGGCTCGGGGAACACCTGGTCCGATAGTTTGTTCAAGCTCTGAACCCAAACGTTTGGCCAAAGAGGCGTGTTTCAAAAAGGCAAGGAGCGGCGGAGATTCGCCGTAGACCTCTTCGATCCGCAGCCATCTGTGGTCTTGCCACAGAAGTGCCTGGCGTGCTGAACTTCAAGTGGTTTGGTTTGTTTTAGAACTCCCCCTGGGGCTTGGACATAGCGCGCGGGCCACCTGGAAAATGCACATGTCCATGACTTTCTCGCCCCAGATGAGACCCAACACTGACTCCAAGATGGTTCCAAGACGGCCAAAATGGCCCAAGATGGCCTTCGAGTTCGCCCAAGATGGTCTCCAAACATGCCTCCAAGTGCGCCCAAGCAGCCACGCCCAAGATGGCTCTCGGATGGCCCAAGGGGCTCCCATGAGGCCTCCAAGACGGCCCAAGATGCTTGCAAAAGAGCCTCCAAGAAGGCCAGAAGAGGCCAAAACTACATAGCTTCCTTGAAGAATTCTGGCATCTCCTCCTCTTCGGCCTTCCGACGGCCCGAGAGGGCCCAAGAGCCCCCCACGATCGCCCAAGAGGGCTCCGAGATGGCCCCAGAATGCCCCAAGGGGGCCCTAAGACGGTCCGAAGAGGGCCCGAAGACGGCCCTGGAGCACACCAAGAAGGCCCCAAGTCGGTTCAGCGAAGCCCCCAAGACGGCTTCTAACGGCGTCAGGCGGGCCAGGACGGCCCGAAGACTGCCAAAGTGACCCCCAAGAAACCCCCCAAGGCCCGTTCAGAGGCCCAAGGATGCCCCCAAGCGGCCTCCAAGAGGCCCCCAAGAACCTCCCAGGACGCCCCAAGAGGCATCCTCCCGCTCCTCAGCCGCCTCCTCCTCCTCCTCTTCCTCCTCCTCTTCCTCCTCCTCTTCCTCCTCCTCTTCCTCCTCCTCCTCACTTCCTCTCTATGTTTCCTCCATCTTGTCCGCTTCTTGTTTCTCTCTCGCGTGTTCCCCGAATCATTTCCACAACGGCGGGGGGAACACATGTTCCGACAGCTTGGCAGAGCTCCGCCACATGGACGAATCCAAAATGCAGGGGGCGTCGATGACTCGCAGCAGGCGTCTTCGATCCGCCGCCCCCTGGTGGGGATGCCTGGCGTGCCGAACTGCTTAAAAGGTAGTCGCTCTCTTCTACAGAACTCCTTGTGGGCTTCGGCCAAAACCGCCGGCCCCGCGGAAAATCTGACGTCCACCGGTTTTCCCCCCAAGACGGCCCGCGATGGGCCTCCAACACGGCCAAGATGGGCTCCGAGACGGCAAAGATGTCCCCAAGATGGCCTCCAAGACAGCCCAAGAATGTCCAACATGCCTCCAAATCCGCCGAAGAAACCACTAAGACAGCCCAAGATGGCCCACGACGGCCCAACACGCTCCCGCAGAGCCTCCAGGGCGGCCCAAGAGGCCTCCAAGAGGTCCTCCAGGAAGGCCCCATGGTGCCCAAAATATTGGTTTGTTCTTAGGTGTTCGAGCGATGTTGGCATCTCCGTCTGTTCTGCTTTCCGACTGCCGACTGCCGTCTCTGGCGCGCGGAGCGCGCCAGAGACGACACTGGAAGCGCCGCAAGGGGGGGGCAGCTCGCATCCAAGAAGTCCGCGAGGAGCGCCAAAAGTTTATGTGTACGGCGTGTTGTTCTTCTTCGAATTCCGGGGTGCACCAGTCCTGTACAGCGAAGGCCAGTCCACAAGAAACCGCCCACAAGAAACCCCACCCTGAGATCCCAGGACGTCCAGTCATCTTTGGTGTGGGACCGCCACGCCTTCCATCTCAAAACCATCGAAACCCAAGAAAAAGCAAGGGCACCCTGGAGGCAAGCAGGGTGTCTCTTGGCGTGGGCCTCCACTGTAGTCGTAGGTCGGGCCTGTCTCCCTACAGGGGGGTGGGACGAAAAATTAAAGATACCCCAGACATACTCCAACAATGCCCCCAAAAAGTCAACACATCGTCCCCAGACGATTGTTTACTATGTTTGCATATTTCCTCTGTAGAGTTGTGGATGCCACGACGATGGACACCCTACCAGTCCTATCATTGAATTTAACATGTGTTTAACATGTCGGGAAATGTTCTAAATATGTGTTGAACATGTTTTAAACATGTTTAACACATGGTTTAGACATCTGGACGTTGTTGGCAACATGCTTCCTCTCTATTGGTCGTCCTCCACAATTGTAGAGGGGCAGGCCCGACTTAACTGCAGTCGATCCCCCAGGCGATGCCTGTGCAGCTTGCTCCTTCCCCGAGCCTCGGCGCTGCGGCGGCGCTCTTCCCCCGCGCGGTCGCAGGCCGCCTGTCGAGGAGGGCAGGCAGGACTTAGGTCGGGCATGTCCCCCCACAGGCCGATGTTCGACGAAGAACTAGTAAAGATACTCAAAGAATAGTCCCAAATGTTCAAGAAATACAAGAAATACTATCTTTTGACTCTTTTTGAACATTCCTCCTGTAGAGGGACAGGCCCGACTTGAGGCAAGACGGAAGGCGACCGGGGTATACACAAATCCAAGAAATCCCCATATTGTCCCATGGTTTCCAGGTTTGCGCCCTCCCCCCCCACTTCACATCTTTTCCCATGGTTTCGTGGGAATCGACGGCTATGTGTGTCTCTGTTCGTCCCCCTCCTGAAAGACAGCATCGATGACACGCCGCCGCGGGACAGGGGAGGGACAGGTACCGATGCCGAATGCCGCTGCTCGTCCTGCCGAGCCCTCCGTCGCCCAAACTGGGCTCCCCTCGAGATCCTGGACAGAACGCACCCGGGGAGAGGTCCGGGGGAGCAGCGGCAGGTCCGTTCCAATCGAGGAAAAGAAAGAGCTGCGTAAACATAACCTTGAAGGAAGAGCGGTGTAAACATTGCCGTCGGAGCTCCCCCGCGGATTTCTTGGATAGGCTGCATTCCCCCTCCCTGGCGCGCGGATCGTGCCAGGGAGCCCCTGCACCGACACAACAAATCCGTGCGGACCCTGGACAGGTCATGTTTATGCAAAGAGGAGGGGGAAGAGGAGGAGGAGGAGGAGGAGGAGGAGGAGGAGGAGGAGGAGGAAGGAGGAGGAGGAGGAGGAGGAGGAGGAGAGGAGGCGGAGGAGGAGGAGGAGGAGGAGGAGGGGAGGAGGAGGGGAGGAGGAGGAGGAGGAGGAGGAGGAAGAGGAGGAGAGGAGAGGAGGAGGAGGGAGGAGGGGGGGAGGAACAGGGGGAGGGGGAGGAGGAGGAGGAGGAGGAGGAGGAGGAGGGAGGGAGGAGGAGGAGGAGGAGGAGGAGGAGGAGGAGGAGGAGGAGGAGGAGGAGGAGGAGGAGGAGGGGGAGGGGGAGGGGGAGAAGGAGCAGGAGGAAGAGGAGAAGCAGGACGAGCATGTTTCTTCATCCTCTCTCGGGCGGCAATCGTCGCCCGCGCGGTCGCAGGCCGCATCGATGCCACGTCGCCAGATCACAAATTCGGTCAATGACTACCGACCACACCGAGGATGATTGGGAACCAGCCAGCGCGCTGCTGGCCACATCAGGCGGCATTGAATCGAGAAACTGGATCAGATCGGACTATGCGTCGGATCGGGCTGCACGCGCAGCCCCATCCGACACACATTCCGATCAGATTCCGACTCCGTGCCGATGCGTGCATCGTCATGGAGTCGGAATCGAACCGGTCTGGACGCATACGCGACAGCGCCATGGAAACAACGGGCCGCATCGGATCGTCGGAGCATCGGACTCAGATCGGATCGAGCCCACCAGACTCGATATCGAGCCGGACCGATCGGATCGGCACCGCTGGCTTAAAGGCACAAAAAGAACACCTAAACATACACTTTTTGAATTCCGCGCGGATTTCGTGGATCCGCGCCGGACCCCCCCTCCCCGGCGCGCGGAGCGCGCCAGGGGCGGCGCCGGAGGCGCCGCTGGGGGGGCTCAGCGCCGATCCGAGAGATCCTCGCGGAGCGCCAAAAGTTTATGTTTGTGTGGCTGTTTCTTCTTCTTCGATGGCTGCCGCGGAAGAGCACCGGCGCCCTCGGACAGCGACGGGGAGAGAGAGCAAGCAGAGCATGTAAAACAGGGCTAGGATCGGGATAAATCGCTCCAGAGCGTTCCGGAGCGCTCTCAGAGCGTTCCGGAACGCTCTGGAACGGCCGCGGCGCCCAATACATACTCCAAACCCGCCGATTCTCAGAGATTTCGAGTTATCCCGATCCGATTTTGTCCCGATCCGGAGGAGAAGGATAGCCCCAAGAGGAGGAGGAGGAGGAGGAAGAGGAGGAGGAGGAGGAGGAGGAGGAGGAGGATAATCCCAAGAGTCATCGAAGATGTTGGAGTAGACCCTCCTTCCAAGCTCCCTCTTCATAGGCCCCCGCCACGGCTCATTTCCATTGACGGAACTGCCTCGCTGGAAGACGCCAAGTTCTGAAGACCCTGAAGCATGCCGAAGCGTTGCTCTCGGGATTCCGACGCCACGGATCAACCTGACTGTTGCTTGACGAGCGTGGATCGTACCAGGACGCCAATCCTCGGACTCGAACACGGAGAGCCAACGTAACTGCTACACCCGCATAATCCTGAATCCTACCAAACACAATTTTTGTTGGTACGTTAGTGATGGGAATTCGTGAAACTCTTGAAAATGGTGTAAACGAATGCACGCGGCGCTAGGGCGAGAACCACACTTTGAAAAAGAACCGCCCTCAATCCGTGAAACTCGTGCAATTTGTAAAAACGAATGTGCGCCGCGCTAAAGCGAGGACTACATTTTGAAAACGACCTGCTTTCAATCCGTGAAATTCTTGCAACTTGCAAAAAAGGATGTGCGCCGCGCGAAGGCGAGAACCACATTGAAAAAGAACCGCCCTCAATCCGTGAAACTCGTGCAATTTGTAAAAACGAATGTGCGCCGCGCTAAAGCGAGAACTACATTTTGAAAACGACGTGCTTTCAATCCGTGAAATTCTTGCAACTTGCAAAAACGGATGTGCGCCGCGCCAAGGCGAGAACCACATTTTGAAAACGAACTGCCCGCCATATGTGAAACCGTTGCCAATTTGTACAAATTTCAGAATCATGAACGGTGAAGGAAGGTCATGCGAACCGCCTGGCCCGCCGTAAATACTGGCCTCGGGGGCGACAGGGAGAGAAGTTATAAATTTATACGGAAAAGGAATGGAGGAGGAGGAGGAGGAGGAGGAGGAGGAGGAGGAGGAGCAGGAGAGGGAGGAGGATGAGGGAGAGGGGGAGGGGAAGAAGGAGGATTCGATTCGATTCGATGATATGGGGCACGGGTGTGCGTGCACAGCTCCAAACAGGCCAGCCCAGAGTCAGGGCCGACCTCAAATAGGTACCTCTTCAAGGCGCGGGGAAGGCCATGCCGCTCTTCGGGGATAAGCCTTTCGCCAACCGCGCGAGGTTATTGCGGCCAGTGGCCGTGTGTCGGGGGGGCATTATTCAGCCAACGTCTGCTCATTCTGGGCAGCGAACGCCCCACAAACCCGACAAAATAGCACGCCTTTGAATTCAGCGACGGTGTGCGACAAATGAGTACGACTGAAGCACGGGTGGGCCCTCGGATTGCCCTGGGACGGGTCAGCACTGGCGAAGGGCTCCAACTGCGCAACAGCTGAGGATCCCAACGCCAGCGCCCCAGGGCACGGACGGGGCCAAAACTTAAACACTTGTCCACGCACAGCCGAAAACTCGCAGAGGCATCGTGTGCATTTGAAAAACGTCGAAACTTTGACCATATCATGGCTTTGCATCCGCAACCTTTCTTTGCGGAGATCAAGGGGGCTCGAGCCTCGCACGCGATGCTGCTCTCTCCCAAAGTGGTCGTCGCGCGTGCTTTGGCACGTGAGACACACATGTCTGGACACAGCTAACAACCTCTTGGGAACCTTCAGGTAATTAGCATCACCATTCTGTATCTCCTGGATTTTATCATCAGGCACGGCCCCCACCTGGCAACTTCCCCCGCAAAGTAGTCGGCAACACCATTGGCGACTAAATCCTGGGGGGTCAGGCGGAGATCACCGATGTCACGAACGCCAGGGTGAGCTTTAGTCCAAGCCACCGGCACATTGCACCTACCCAACTCCAGTTCATCACAGACAAGCTGCCAGAGATCAAACATGCACGAGTGGTCCACCGCCGCGCCCGTTCGCTCGAAGGCACGCGCGCTAGGATAAAAATCAGTGTGCAGCTTTTGGCGTCGCCTTCCACAAGACGCAACAAGTGGAGCAGAGCATACACCTCCGCCCGCGGCGAAGACTGATCAGGTCCTGACAAGGTCCCACGGATAACTCCGCACACCTGTAGGGATCCTGGACGGAGATGCACACCAGACCAAGCACCAACGTCTCAATCTCCAATCAAGAGCTTGGACCCCACCGAAGCCGTCACACCCATATATACCACCCGAGATCCTACCCCCACTCTGAAGCGCCTCCAGGAAAGACCCCCAAGCCAAGACGAGCGCCTCGGGAGCAGGGAGCACACCAAGGGTCCACCCAAGAGGCACCAACCCACGAGTCCAGAAACACTCAGAATCAGGGATATTTTCACGGGAGTCCTGATACATGTGGGCGCTGTGGAGGGAAATGTCAACAATATCACTGGTATTCTGGTGCTCCCAGAACCTATGCCAATGCGTTTCAGGGCTCCCTCCGCATCGAGGACACAGACCAGTACTGTCATAGCCAGAGTCCTTGAGGCGCCGCCAAGGCCATTGAGCTCCGGCAGCAAGGTGATTCAAAATAATGACTCCATCGTAGTCACCTTGACGCTCCAGCATCTTCCGCATCTGCCTAAACGTATTGAAGTCAAACCCTTCTTGCAATCCTTGGTCCCCATAGGCTTTAGAAGCTTGGCCCCAGAGGGCCATGCCAACCTGTTTCTCAACCAACTTCCAGGGGTGGAACGGGAAATCCCTCCGCTCCATACAAAGCGTGATTCGGGAACAAAACAGCGGGTAGGCTCGGCAGGGTCACCATTAAATTCAAGCGCGCAAGCCATAGCCGCCGCAGTGGGCCCACGGACACGCCGCCACCGATTGACCCTAGGAACATCGCACAACTTGACAAGGATGCGAGGCTAGACGCGACACACCGTTTGGCGAAGACTAGGATTAAGGGCGGCCCACGTGCGGCTCCACTCAAGAAGATGCTCATACCGAATCTTATACGAAGGGTCATGATGCACCATGGCCCTGTCGAGGGCGAGGAGGAGGAGGAAGAGGAGGATGTGTCTTCATCCTCCCTCTGGCGGCGCTCGTCGCCCGAGAAATCCGCGCGGACCGCCGAGAAATCATGTTTCCGCAGCGTTTCGTTCCTCGAGCGAAGGAGGGCGACGCCGATAGGCTCGCGGTGGCGGCGTGTGGCCGATGCACTTTTGCTCCCACCTCGCGCGCCTGCCGGGCGCAGCGCAAGTGCTCCGCCTTCTGCGACGCGAAGCGCCGCTCCTCCTCGCCGGGCCGGGCGAGAGAGGACGTGATGACGACGGTGAGGATGGTGAGGATGGTGATGCTGATGATGATGCGGATGATGATGGTGATGATGATTGTGATGATGATGGTGATGATGGTGATGATGGTGATAATGATGATGATGCTGATCTGATGGTTTGATGATGGCGGTGATGCGGCGGACAGGGAAAGGAGGATATGATGACGATGACGATGACGATGATGATGCTGACGACGACGACGACGACGACGACGACGACGACGACGACGACGATGATGATGATGATGATGATGATGATGGTAATGATGATGACGATGATGGTCAAGGTCTTGGTCAGCCACCAGGTCGGATGATGATTGATGATGATGACGATGATGATGACTCTGATGATTATGGAAGTGATGAAATTGATGATGACGACGACTAGGGTCTTTGTCGGCCAACGGGCCTGATGATGATGGATGGCGATGGTGGCGGCGATTATGTTATTGTTGATGATGCTGGTGGTTTTGGTCGGCCATCAAGTCTGATGATGATGATGATGATGATGATGATGATGATGAAAGTTGATGGTGATGAAGATGATGACGACGATGATGCTGATGATCAGTCGCCATTGAGCGAAGCAGACATGCTTATCAATTTACGCGCGGCGAAATTCGACCTGCAATGGGCAACAGATCCACCCGGACGCAGGCGACGAGGAGCCCCCAAGTCCCAGAACCCCCCCCCTCCCAACGGCCCAGCGGACGGCCCCCCACGAGGCCGCCACCACCGGCTCGTCGAGCCGAGCCCAGCGCGCGACAGACCCGCCACGGTCCACGGAGGAGGAGGCAACATAGCCATTGACGATGATGAGGATGAGGATGAGGATGAGGACGATAGTAATGCTGATAATGATGATGATGATGATGATGATGATGATGATGATGATTACGATTACGATTACGATTACGATGACGATGATGATGATGATGATGACGATGATGATGATGGTGATGATGAAGATGATGATGATGATGATAATGATGATGACGCTGATCATGCTGATGCTGATGCTGATGATGATGATCCTGATGACGGTGATGATAATGATCGTGTTGATGTTGATGGTGTTGACGATAACTGTGAACGATTACGATGATGATGATGATGATGAGGATGATGATGACGACGATGATGATGCTGATGATAAGTATGATGATGATGAGGAGGATGATGATGCTGATGACGACGATGACGATTTGGTTAGTGATTATGATGATGACGATAGTAATGCTGACAATGATGATGATGATTACAATGACGATGACGATGACGATGGCGATGATGATGATGATGATGATGATGATGATGATGATGATGATGATGGTGATGATGATGCTGATGATGCTGATGATGCTGATGCTGCTGATGATGCTGATGCTGATGATACTCACGTCGGAGGCGGAGTGTTCTGGCTTCCACAATAACTCCAGAACAAGTTTCTTCTGTTCTGTCTGTGTGGCCCAGGGTGTGCGGGAGCTCTCCAGCCAAATTCCAGACCGTCAGGGGGTCCAGGGCGATGCGGAGGAAGCATTTCGGCGGCCTCTTGGGGCCCTCGCCTCCTGGAGGCCTCCCCGATGGGGGTCTTCCTGGTGGCCCTTTCGGGCCTCTCGGGGCCCTCTTGCGCCGCCTCCGGGCGCTCTTGGCGAGGTCGGGCATGTCCCCTTTCAACAATGACGACTACCCAGAAAAAACGCCCTAAAAGAATCCAAACAACTGTCGAAACAGATTCCACGGACTATCTTTTGACCATTTCTGCACATTCTCCCTGTAGAGCGGCCCGACTGCACTCTTGGCCCGCCCAGCTCCCCTGGAGACCGTCCTGTGGGGTGGGCAGAGCGGGGAGCGGGGCCCACCAGTCCGCCCACGCCTGGCATACCTCCAAGGGCGCTGGAGGCGCCCCCCGCGGCTCGAAGCGTGCCCGACGGCGGGGGCCGAGACGCATCGCGGAGCTTCTGTTGGGTCGGGCGTGTCCCCCTGCAGGCGGTCTCTGGACGAAGTATAAAAAAGTACCCCCAAAATGCTCAAACATAGTCAAGCGATTGTCAAAGAATGGTCCCATGATTATTTTCTGGCCATTTTTGAATATTCCCCCCTGTAGAGGGACAAGTCCGACTCACATCTTCTGACCCGGGTCAATCCAGACCCGGGTCGGCAGGAAAACAAACAACTGCAACGCAGACACAAAAACTGCAACGCAGGCCTTCACAAGCCCGGGTCGGCCAATGTGCGCGGCCGCCTCGCGGCCACGAGCGGCTCGCTAAACCGGGTCAGCCAGAGGGGGTCTTGGCAGGATCCAACAGGATCCGGGTGCCCTAGCTGACCCCCGTTTGCATGGACCCCCGTCTCTTGAGCCCCGAACGCAGCAGGCCTCGCACCCCCGGCGTCGCGGCTCTCCCACGGCGTGGATCCCCATGGGCCCGGGCCGCTCCCAGGAGCCAGCTGCCCTTCCTGAGCCGATGCTCGACGGCCCCGAGGCTGCAAACTGCCGAGCCCCTCCGGTCGCCAGACGCTCTCCCATGACTTGCTGCCGAAGGATGCCTCCCCTTCCGCCCAGCCCGCTCCTCCTTGAGCCTCGTGGCGGTCGCGCGCTCGGCCCGCCTCGACGCCCCGTCCTCGGAGGCCATCGCCTCCGCCTCCCGGCGACGCTCCCGCTCCGCGCGCGCCTCCTGGGCGGCTCTGTGAAGGGGCCCAAGGGCACACAAATCAATGCACACAAATAATAAATGCACACAAATAAGAAATGCACACAGATCCCAGGATTCCCCAGATGTTTCCACACATTTTGGGTTTTTCGTCTTCCTCCCCGCTTCCCCCATTTTCCATCCCCCTCCTGACTTTGGCGCGCAGGGGGGTGGCCCTGGAGCAGATGCAGGCACACACTGGCTTCACGTAGCAGCACGGCAGAGGCGATCCGCACGGGCGCTCCAGTTGCCGGGGACACTTGTGACGTCGCAGCGCGGCAGAGCCAGTCCGCACGCGCGCTCGGCAGGCCGGGAGGCGGCGTTGACTTTGCCGGGGACACGCGACTCACGACTTGTCCGGCTGCAAGGAGAGGGCGCGCGGGGGGGAGCTGCTGCAGAGGACAGGAGGGAGGAGAAGGGCACGTAAGGCCCAAAGCGCTTCAGGATGAGCGCACCGGAACGGCGAGCCAAAGGTAGCCAGCAACATGCAAACCCTACTGGGATGGGCGGGGTTATCAGTGGACGCCAGGGAGGGTCATATCTGGCCGAACCTAGCTTATCAAAAACTTTCGACCACAAATGGCTTAGGGGGGGTGACGATCCGGGCTCAGTGGGCTCCGCCCACTTAGCGGAGTTATCTAACCCCCCTAAGCCACTTGGGGCATTTGTAGCCCACTTGCAGGCTAGGTCAGGCCCGATATGACCCACCTTGGCATCCCCTGACAACCCGCCTATCGCCTCGACACCCCCCGCGCCCATCCCCGCACCCCTACAGGCCAGATTCCTGAACACTAGCTGGGGCTCAGAATTTGAGGGATGCCTACAGCCAAATGAACCCCAGCGGGGACAACCCCGAGGGACAACGACAGGGGGGGACTGGCATAGGGGGGAACACATCGACCTGGAAACGGCGATACAACGCCGATACATCGGCGATAGGCCTCTGATAATGAACCCGCACGTTCCAGGGACAGGTTGACGCTATCGGGCCCATATCGGCGATCAGTGGGCGATTGGGGGTCGCTGCAAAGAGGGCCCGACCACAAGAAACCTTCCACAAGAAACGCAAGCCTGAGACCCCAGGCCATCCATCGATTTTTTGGTATGGGACCGTCACGCTTTCCGTGGCACAGCCATGGAGGAACCCAAGAAACCAAGGGCAACAAGGAGGCAAGCAGGGTGTGTCTTGGCATGGGTCTGCACTGTATCGTTGCCCCTGAACCCCAGCTTCGACTGGACCAGTGGGCGCCCACCATACAGTGGGGGCCCGACCACAAGAAACCTTCCACAAGAAACCAAACCCTGAGACCCCAGGACGTCTGTCGTTTTGATTGCAGTGGGACTGTCACGCTTTCCGTGGCAAAACCATCGAGAAACCCAAGGAACCCAGGGCACCCTGGAGGCAAGCAGGGTGTGTCTTGGCATGGGTCTTCACTGTATCGTTGCCCCTGAACACCAGCTTCGACTGGACCAGTGGGCGCACGTTCTTGGGCAGGTTCCGCACGTTCTTGGGCAGGTTGGGGCTATCGGGCTCCTATCGGCGATCAATGTGCGCACGTTCCTGGGCAGGTTCCGGACGTTCCTTGGCAGGTTGGGGATATCGGGCCCATATCGGCGATCAGTGGGCGATTGGGGGTCGCTGCATCCTTCCCCTATGCATGTTCCCCCCCTACAGTAGGGGCCCGACCATAAGAAACCTTCCACAAGAAACCAAACCCTGAGACCCCAGGACGTCTGTCGTTTTGCGTTGGTATGGGACCGTCACGCTTTCCGTGGCAAAACCATCGAGACACCCAAGAAACCCAGGGCACCCTGGAGGCAAGCAGGGTGTGCCTTGGTATGGGTCTTCATTGTATCGTTGCCCCTGAACCCAGCTTCGCCTGGACCAATGGGCGCACGTTCCTGGGCAGGTTCCGCACGATCCTGGGCAGGTTGGGGCTATCGGGCCCCTATCGGCTATCAATTGGCGATTTGGGGTCGCTGTACCCCCCCTATGCCTATCCCCCCATACAGTGGGGGCCCGACCACAAGAAACCTTCCACAAGAAATCCAACCCTGCGATCCCAAGACGTCCATCGTTTTGTTTTGGTGTGGGACCGTCACGCTTTCCGTGGCAAAACCATCGAGAAGCCCAAGAAACCCAGGGCACCCTGGAGGCAAGCAGGGTGTGTTTTGGCATGGGTCTCTACTGCATCGTTGCCCCTCAAAACCAGCTTCGACTGGACCAGTGGGCGCACGTTCCTGGGCAGGTTCCGCACGTTCCTGGGCAGGCTGGGGCTATCGGCCCCTATCGGCGATCAGTGGGCGCTTGGGGGTCGCTGCATCCCCCACTATACCTATTCCCCCCCTACAGTGGGGGCCCGACCACAAGAAATCCAACCCTGAGATCCCAGGACGTCCATTGATTTCGTGTGGGGGCGTCACGCTTTCCGTGGCAAAACCATCGATAACCCCAAGAACAACCCAGGGCACCCTGGAGGCAATCAGGGTGTTTCTTGGCCTGGGCCTCCACTGTGTTCGTCTTCGTGATGTTTTCGTTGTCCCTCGTCCTGTCTTCGTTCCGCCCCTGCTGCGAAACAAAGCGTCTGTCTCGTGCTTGGCGAGGAAATGATGCGCGTCGTTCGGTGGATGTTTTAGCTTCCCATACAAGCTGGCACCATCCAGAATCATTATTCAGGGCTGAACTGATAGTGCTTTGTCGCGCTCGATGCGTTGATTTATCCTTGCTCGCCCAATCGTAGCAATATCGCCCCAGAGCTGATTTACCTAAGTACGACCGCTAGAGGAACGCCAACATCTGTGGTCCCCGCCGACATAGAAGATCTGGATGGCTCCTGACTTGGCACGGCCCACCGCTTCATCGATCATTCTCCCAGCTATCTCAAAGAAAGGGGCAAGCGCCAGGGTGAGCTTGTCAGGGCCGCGATGCTTCTTATTCGCACGGGCTAAGCCGATCAAGTTACACTGATCCCGGTCCGAAATTTTAATCACATTGCATCGGCGTTTGCGCTCATGGGGCGAAGTGACCCATATTCGTATACACCATCGCAGTCCAATCGCTATTCCTAGCCAAGTCGAGCACAGTTTCCCCGTAGGCATTCCGACTTACATCCGAACAGGCACCATGGAGATTTGAACGCATACGGTGCCAGAGGCCTGTTCCTGGACCAAGCTTCTTCCCGTCATCTCCATTGAAGGTACGCGTTGAACCCGATAGGAGGTTCATAGCAGCAGACAAGCAATTATACGACTGGTACGGCGACTTCGTGAGTGGACGGAAGAATGCCGGCGGTGCCTATCCAATCCTTATCACTGCCGCTAGATCTTCCCCGGCATAAGGAATCCATCCGTGATGGCCTGGCATTTCTCCTGCACATGCATCCATGCTGCCGAAGCGTGGAGGCCAGGGTCAACAACTGAGATGTAAAGGTTTCGCACTTCTGTAATGCATTTAACCCACTCGGGCGGAGCATCGTCACTCAGGGGCGCGGCTAAGCCGACCCCCGTTTGTCTCCTGTGTTCCAGCACGTCCCAAATGCCCCGGGCCAAGTAACTCGGGTCGGGCACGTCCTGCTCCCCTTCCTGAGCTGAGGGGGGCCTCGGACCCGGGCCGGGGGGAGGGTCGCCCCCTCCATCTCCGCGCGGCGCGCCTGGAGGCGGTCGATCGTCTCCGCCATAGCCGCCAACCCCGGCAGGCGCTCCCCAACAGCCGGCTGAGCCGGAGAGGGGTTCCCGCTGCCTCCACTGCCGGCTGCGCCGGAAGAGACGGCACCCCCCGCTGTGGCCCGCGCTGGGCCATCACACTGACATAGCGAAGCCTCGGATGGAGGCGCCTTCTCTTCCGCCTCTAGGGAAGACTCGACTGTGGCATTCTTCGCTGGTCTCGAGCTGTCAGCATCACTTGACCTCTTCTGCGGCAGCTGCCATTTCATTGCCCGGGAGATTTCGGCGTCTGGACATTTGACCGTCTTCGCTGGTCTCGAATCGCCAGCGTCGCTTGGCCGCTGCTACGGCAGCTTTCCTTCCGTCGCCCGGAGCATTTCGATGTCTGGGGCCTTCGCCTTGACCTCGGGCGGCTGAGCCGTCGAGTGGGCCATTGCCCTCTTTGTGAAGGGCTCTTCCTTCAGCGCCCTCCACTCTTTGTGCTATGCCAGGGCGTTCTCGGACAGGGCCTGTTCTACTGCGTGGCCCCTCGCATTAACATTCCCACCAATTACTGGGGGGGCAACGCGCGTTCTCCACTTGTCAGCGGCTGAGCCGCGCGGGACTTTGCTGCGGGGGGGAACGTCCCCACATGTTCACGTGCACTACCCGTTCCGTTCCCCATGTCTGGAACGCGATCCGCGACAAAATGCCCCGCGCCCATCATATAAATGAATTCCGGCGGGCCCAAAATGGGCCCGATCAGCCCGCCGCGGTCGCAACTGCGAGCAAGCTTTGGCGGTCGCCAGGCGGTCCACTTGAAAAGTGGCATCTCAAAGTTGTGCGCGGGTCAACATGGGATTGGAAGCGCTGGCGCACTTCAACGAATCCTAGACCTGGGGGGGGGGGGGGGCGTCATAGCTGCCCCTATAATGAGTCCCGGAGTGCTTCCGACAATTGACCCAGAAAACAACCCACGTGTCCTCGGACATCCTACTAGATAACCTTTAGATGGCCGACTCATTGCATGTTTAATAGATTCTCGTTCAACGCTTTGGCAACAAAATCCAGATAATAGAAGTATGGGCGTCTATTAAGCACGACCCGCTGCATCCAGCGACCAAGGGGGATCGCTCGTGGATGAAGGATGCAGCGGGGGATCATTCCTGGCTCAGGCGTTTCGAAGTGGTACGTGCGTTTTATCTCAGCATCCGTCCAGTCCGTGCAACCCGATCCTGACGCGTCACCCAACTCAGCGCGCTCTACTGTGGGCCTTGCTGTTGAGGCCTTGGTTTCCCTTGCCGACTGAGCCGGCAGGGAGTCCTTTGTCCTCACCTTCTTGGCCACTTCT